AATAAAGCTGGAAAATGAGTATTTTTTTAAGAAGGTTTTGAGAGATGAGGGCTCTGGTTCATTGCTGCTGCACGGCTGTGACGTCCTGTGCATCTGGGAAAGCCACCAGAACGTCCTGTGCCTCAGTTTTCCCCCTGCCCCCTGGGAAATGGGACAGTAAGACCTCACCAAAGTCACCTGTGCGTTCTCGCGCTTTTGAGCTCTGCCCGATGTGCATCCCACTCCCGCTCCTCTGTGTGGCTCCGGACCGGTAAGCTGACCTGCGGGCCCCCAGTGTCATCCGGAAAGTGGGACAGTAGACTGTACTTTGCAGGTTGTGTCGCATGTATGCCGGGGACTTGGGTGCCACTGAGAAAGCGTTAACAGCACCGCTACCGCCTGGCCCGTAGGTGCCAGTGCTGTGCCTTTGCCTAAGTCACGGAATGACCCACTGCTGTGTCTACACGTGGCCCAACCTGCCTGACCGCTTTCCCCACCCCTCCTTTTTTGCACCGTGCTTCAGTACACGTCTCGTAGACCGGCCGCGTCAACCACCAAACGTACCGCGCAGCGGCATCGGGCACACCCCGCTGTTTGCCTCACCCATTAACTCTTTCCAGAGCCGTCGCATCCTCCCCAAAGGCAGGGCACCCCTTACCCGCCACGCCCCTCGGCCCGCCCCTTTCACTCGGCGGAACGTGGTCCGGGCGTGAGGTGCGTCCGGGACCGCCCCGCGGTGCCCACGAGTCGGCCGCGCTCGTGGACGTCCGCTGCCGCTGTCCCCGACGCGCCGGCTGCGCGCCCGCGTCTGCCCCGGGCTCTGCTCGGCCCCACGGACGGCCCGGGCTGTCTCCCGGCGGATGCCACCCGGCCCGAGTGCTGCCACCGCGTCCGCTCTTGGGACCCGGTACTTGCGTGCGGAGACGCCGTCGTCCTTCTGACCCGCTCCTCCGCGGGTGAACACGTGGTGATTTTACTCTGCGGCCGTCGCGCGCGGGCGTCTCCGCGCTTCGTGCCCCTGCGGCGCGCACCGGGTCGGGGCGGCGGCGTCCCCCGCGCCCCGCTCGCCTGACGTTGTGGAAGACGCCGTCCGGCGCCCTGCGTGACGGGCCTCGCCGCGCTGAGGGAGCGAACGCCGACCCGCGGCTCCGAGAGGCCCAGCCGAGAAGCTCCCCGGCCTTGTGCGGCCCCTGGGAGGCGGGTGCTCCGGCCGTGCCCTGTCGGCGGGCAGAGCTGGGCCCGTCCCACCGAGCCCCGCCCAGAACGGACAGGTGCCAGCTGGGTAACCGCCGTCTCCAGCCACCGCCCCTGGGAGCGCCCGCTCAGGCCGCAGTACGTAACTGGGCCCTCGGCTTCCGTGCACCGCCTCTGTTCCAAACCAAAAATCGCCTTGCACCGGTACGCGGGGGGAGTAGGCGGCCGGCATTTCCCTGCAGGACACACATGGGTAGGCCAGGCTCACGGGGAGAATGAGGTCACATGCACCACCCCTGCCCCGCCACTCTCCAGCAGGGGAGAACTTAGACCATAGGCATCATTGCCCGGGCTCCGGGCCCTTCCCCTGCTGGATGGAGACCGCAGTGCTTGCTGAGTCAGGGCCGTTGGAACACAGGGGAAGTACGCTCGCGCCCGCAGGGTAAAAGGCCCTCACTGAGTCAGGGAACTGGGGAGTTTGGAAGAGGACTTCAGGATAGAGGAGTAGGAACCACTTGGCCAGAGCAACGCCACGTTCTCGCTCTCGCTCTCACTCTCTCTCCTCCTCCAGCCTTCCCAACGCTGGGTTCAGTTTTCTCTCCATTCTTGGGCAAGATCTGAAGACGCGTTGCCAGCAGCGGCGCACAGTGTGTTTCTTACCCGTTTAACGATCATCGCGGACAGACGGTGCCTCTTACCCTATGCCTGCAGCCAAGCCCCCAGAGCTAACGCTCACTGGCCAGCAAAGCTCACCTGTAAGTTATTTTCTCTCCGGTCGGTCGAACCTGAGGTACCCCAGCGACAGGGGTCCGCTCTACCTTGGATGGCCATTCCGGCAGGGCCGGTGTCCCAGGGAAAAGTCAAGTGATTGTCAGAAGGTGTTATCAGAGGAAAGTGGCCAGGTGTCCCGTGTCAGGCAGACATACACAGCCTTTGCCCCCAGCACATGAGTCCCAGGGCTCCCAGGAGACCCAAAAGACACGCCTGGACACACATGAGCAGTGACGTCAATGTTGATGTCACTCCGGTGGTGCCGCTTTGTTTCTGGAGCCTCTTGATTCATATTTTCTGGGAGGAGAAGCTGTGTATGTTTCAGCAAAGGAGGAGGAAATGTTTCCCTTGGGCTCCCAGGCAGCCGTGATTCACTGGTTTTCATCTGACTCAGAATACAGTGTAATTATGCTGGGCAGGTGATGAATATCACAAAAGCACTTAACGTCCTTATGAAAAAGAGATTTCCACTACAAAGTGTCCCCTCGGGCTCCTCAGATCAGGGGAACAGGTTTATAAATCCATAAAATCAATAAAAGTGTGTGCCCAAAATTGTACTATAAGGAAAATCCATGGAGAACAAAAGAAGAAGGAAAGGCACATAGAAATTTCCACATATTTTCAAGATTTTTGTCCAATCAGGGTTTCTCCTATTTCCTCTTTTTTTTTTTTTTCCAACTGGAATAGAATTTCTTTATGGACAGTGTCTGTGTCATTTGGGGAAGCTTAAAGCACTCCGGAGAGCATTCGGGTGCATTTAGGGATGGCTTTGAATTTCTGTCCTGGAAGAATAAAGCCCCGTTTGGTGAGAGCCGTGCCAGGAAACCCGAGCGGTCTCACAGAGCAGCACGCTCCGTGCTTTGATCACACACTCGTTCAGCAAAAAGCTTCTGGCATGCCCTTGAACTCAAGTGCACTTACGAATAAATCAGACCCGTGCATTGGGTATGACAGTGTTTGCTCTATGAAACATGTACAATAGACAATACCACCGATGAGAGCGGAAATAAAGATAGAAATCCCCGTGTTTTCCTCCTCTACCTTGAAGGACAGTCTGAAATTGGCTCATGGACTGGAAGGCTTAACAATTCCAAAAATCCAATGGGGCAGGGTGGGGGGGTTGGTTTGCAGACTGGAAACTTGGGGAGACCTGCAGAGCCCAAAGGCAGAGTGCTGGCAGAACTCTTCCTGCTCAGGGGAAGTCTGTCTTTGTTCCAGGCTGGCCTTCGACTGATTTGGTGAGGCCCACCCACACAGGGAGGAGAATCTGCTTTACTGACAGTTCACGGATTGAGGCATTAATCACGTCCAAAAAAAAATCTCCACTGAAACAACCAGAATAAAGTTCAACCAAACACCTCGGCATGGCTCCGTGCGACAAATTTTCAGTTCCAGCTGATAATTACAGGTCATACGGAGTCCCCTGACTGTTCACGAGCAAAGGAGATACTAAGGAATTAGAAGCTGTAGGCTTGGATAAACATGAGGCTTTTGGGCTCAAAATACAAGGAGAGTGGGCAAGAATAGTACGTGGTACCTGGTCTCAAGAGAGTACGTTGGCACAGTGTTGCCCATTCCAGTGCCTTTATCCATTGACCCCTAGATGTCAGACCTGGGAATCCCCTTCGAAGATGTTCAGTGCGGTGTTAATTATAGACCAAAAAAAGTTTCTCTGTAAGGGGAGGGATTTGATAAATTATGGTATACCTTCTAATGGAATATTCTATAGTTAAAAAACAGCAAAAAACACTGACGTAGGGCGCCTGCGGGGGCTCAGTGCGTTGAGCATCTGCCTTCGGCTCAGGTCATGATCCTGGGGTCCTGGGATCGAGCCCCCTCGGCGGGATCCTTGCTCAGCAGGGAGCCTGCTTCTCCCTCTCCCTCTGCTGCTCCCCCCGCTTGTGTTCTCTCTCTCTCTCTCTCAAATAAATAAAATCTTTTTAAAAACTGATACAAAAAACGTACTCATGATAATTATTGACTATATACCTATCCATGTATACCCTTTAGGTAGGATATGATTATCTCCTGTATTAAAAACACAGAGATATATATGTAGGATTATTTGTCATGGAAATTTCCAGAAAGTGCCAGAAGAAACTGCTACCAGCGTCCACGCTGAGAAAGAGACTCCATTTTCACCCTGGACTGGCTTCAGATATTTTCCATCATATGCCCATAGATGGCTTTTTAATGTCCTTCGTTGGCAAAGACTTCAGTGTGTGCCCTACTAGTGACAAATGATGTTCGAGTCAGCTGTGAGGGGCGCGCAGGACAGCCGGGCCCAGCAACATCCTCTAAATAAAGCAGAGCTCTGCCGTGTGGCTACAGGGGGGGACAGGGAGACCTCAGAACCACGGGGACGGGCGGCGGGGCAGTCTACCCACGGCAGGCAGAGGAGACGGCAGAGCAGCTGAGGGCAGCCAAGGACACGCCGTTGAGAGCGTGGGGAGTCTGCAGGGAGCCGCGGACGGGCTCACCCTTGTCGGGAAGCTGCATTCACCCCGGGCTCAGCCAGGGCTTGGAGCACGGGGCTCGCGGCACCGTGACAGAAATGCTGTATCCTAAGTGGTTCCCTGGCATCGGGGCCTTAAACCCTGACGACATCACAGCGGGGCCTTACAGACGGGGAGCCTGAGACAAGTCAATGAACGAATGAAGGAAGCCATCCCAGAGTGGGCCCCCAAGAACAGGCACTCCGCTCTCTCCTATGTGCCTCTTGCCTTCTTCCTGGTGCTGGCACTGAGCTCCCCATACTGTTCTCCTAAACCCCTGGCACGCTCTGCTGTTTACCAGATCAAAGCTCAGTGAGCTCGGGGGCTGGCCACGGCGAAGGCCACTTGTCCCAGAGCACCCACGCCTAAGCCACACCGAACGTCACCCAGGATGCTGGGCCAAGCGTGGGTTGAAATTTAACCGTCCGGGTTGGGGGGTTGGGTGAGTTTCTACACAAAGGGGTGGGCCGACCCCATCGCACGGTCATCCTGATCCGAGTGAGACCGGAGAGTAGGAGAATCACCTGTTTTTACTGGGGTCCGTGGGGAAGCAGACCCAGTATGCTAGGGACCCTGGTGCTGGGCAGGAGCCTTCAGAACGCCTCTGGTTTCTCCATCTCGGTCACGCAGCTGTGGGGGGCCCCCCGCTGTCATCCGCGCAGGGCAGAGCGATGCCACTCCCAGGGTCCCTGCGCACAGAGGAACCAGAGTGATGCTTGTAAGTAGATCCTGGGGTTTCCCCGGGTGCGGCCTGACGTTTGGCTGATGCTATGGTGTCTTCCAGAATGGGAGGCAGTCGGACCAGACGCTTGGGTTCAGGTTCGCACTCTCCTGTGGGCGACCTTGGGCAGTTACCTTCACCGCAGCTCCATGGGGCCAGGGTGAGAGTCTCAGAAGAAGACAGGTAGGAAGCGCCCCCCAAACTGAGCTGTTGTTAGGAACACCCAGCCCTACCCCCACTCCAAAATCCATCTGGCAGAGACTGTTTTGGGCAACAACACCGTAAACAGATCATGGAACCCGCTCTGTCCACGGTCAGCTTCCGTCGGCCGCACCCTGGAGGCACCTGTCCTTAACGCCCTGGGACCCTGGACTCATGCCTCCCCCTTTCTGGGTCTCAGATGTAACCCCCGTCAAAAAAAAAAAAAAAAAAAAAGAAAAGCTAGCGGTAAGGTCACTGCCGAAGGTCACTTCTGAAATACCAGCACTTTCCGGGTTGGACGGTTGGAAGAGTGTGGGCTTCGGAGCCAGAAGCTCCCGAGTGTGGGCGCTCGGGACAAGTGACTGGCAGAGGTGAGAGCGGGGACAGAGGCTTCGCTGAGCCCCAGTCTCCACGCCTGTGAGAGGGCAGACTAAGCGTCGCACGGGGTCTCGTGAAGACGGCACGACAGGTGTCGAGAGCCTGCCACACACCAGGCTCTCAGTGAACATGACGGAGACTTACTCAGAGCGGGTCCCCGGACGGGCAGTGGCGTCACCCCCTGGGAACTTTGTGGAAATGAAAAACCCAGTGCCCCGCCCTAGACCCACCTGTAAATTTCAAACAGGAAGGCCCTCCCACCTACGCCCCCTCCAACCCCAATTCCCAGAGGCCACTGCTCTGTCTCCTTGAGAGCTCAGCCTTCTGGTGCCTTCCTCCGTGCTCCTAGAACGGCCCTGCATGTTCACAAGACTTCTCAAAAAAACAAAAAGTGACCCCTCCGTGCATGTTGGTCAGCCCCTTGGCTTCCTCCAGTCTCCTCCGGCGACATCTGCACCATTGCCCCTCAGCACCCAGCCCTGCTCTACTACGTGGTTCGACCGGGAAAGGCATCAGGCCACCTAGACCGGAGTCCCGGCTGTGTGCCCCTCAGCAAGCCTCTTAACCTCTCTGAGTCCCGGTCGCATCGCCTGTAAGAGGTGGGGCATCCCAGCACTTCTCTCACAGAGCTGTTGGACGCAGACCTGAGGTCGGGCATGCGGAGGCTCAGAACCGTGCCAGGCACCTTGCAGAAGCTGGCCCCGTGCTACCCTGTTGGGGGATCTTAGGTGGTACCAATTTTTAACTACTACCAACCACATTCTCACATGTCCTCACACACGCGTGTAGGACCCAGTGACGTTCTAAGTCTGCCCATGCCCTGGCCTCCGGGCTACTTCCAGGCGCCTGAGGTTTTACTCCAGAGTCCACGATGCGCGGAGTACATCCTGCCAAACGGAGACGGGGCTTCCTCAGTCACTGATGCTTCCGGTCTAGTGTTTTGTGTACTGGAGTTTGCAGCACATTTCCCTGGGGGACGAAAAACAAGTTTGTTCCCAAACACAGTGGCCCCCCCTTCTCCGCAGGGATCTGCTCCGGGCCCCTCAGCAGGTGCGCGAAAGCGCAGACGGCGTCGAACGTTACAGACACTGTCCTCTCCTAAACACACACGTCCACGGCAAGTTCAAGCCGACACAGTTTGAGATAAAAAACACGACTTCTAACAGAGCAAAACAGCTGTTACGTAGGCTTGTAGTGAAGCCACGGGCGGCGGGTTCTCTTTCCAAACGACTGAACCGCACTCCCCTTCCGGCGGGGACGGGAGATGATCCGGCACCCGCGAGGCCGGAGGACACGGGATCAATGATGTAGGCACCGTGCAGGGCATTGGGCTCTCAGGGCCCGACAGTGACCGACCATGGGGCAGAGGGAGAACCGTCGGCTTCCTCCCAACCAGGCGCCTCTGTCGGTCTCCGGAGAGACGCGGGCCACGTCCATGACATCCAGCCGCCGGCGAAGTCTGCGTGCAGCCCAGCTCTGCACCGGCCTCCCTGTCGCAGGGACGGAGGCTGGGGAGGTTCATGGGGTTGTACCGTGAACATGACGCAGTCACGACCTGTGCCGGCTCAGGGGCCTTTGGGGAGAGAACCAACCATGGACCACCCAGGCTGCTGGTGCGACACTGAGTTACAGCGGGAGGGAGCTGGGACAAAAGTCTAAGCTGTCGTCCTCCATGTGTCCGTGGTGAGCAGGAGAAGGCTGGCGGAGAGCAGGCTGTCTCCAGGGCCTGGTGAGCCCCAGTTACTGGGTCCCGAGGTGGCCCGCAAGGCAGATGGCCATGGCTCTGCCCGGTGGGCGGGCACGGACTTGTGACCACACTGTGACCATGACCGTGAGTCAAAACCAGATCGGCATAGCGCCAGAAGTCAGTGCTGACGGATGGTCGGAGTGGAGACAGACCGCGGGCACCGCACGCATGGGCAGACCTGTTGGGTGGCCCAGTGGCCCCTGGGCTCCATGTCGATCCAGTTCCAGACGGCTGTCTCCCCTAGGGGCTCGTCTGCAAGGGTCACTGCCTCCCCTGTGGGGTTAATAATTCCGAGGTCTCAGCAAGGCCTCCCCTCCTTCTCTCTGCCCCAGGGCACCCCCTCTGGAAGGGCCCGGCCTCTGTGCCCGGAGGCACCCGGCAGTCCCCTGTCAACATCCGCTGGAGGGACAGCGTCTACGACCCGCAGCTGCAGCCCCTCAGGGTTTCGTACGCCGCAGCCAGCTGCCTGCACGTCTGGAACACCGGCTACTTCTTCCAGGTGGAATTCGACGACTCGGCCGAGGAATCAGGTGAGCCCGGGGCCAGGGGATGAGGTGGGGTGGGAGGACCTTCCTCTTCTCCTGTCCCAGCCTGAGAGCGGGGCTATGCTGGGCGGGGAAGGGGCCCAGGGCTTTGCTTATGCACAGTGTTTGGGGGGCAAGGAGCAGAGGTGTCTCAGCGTTGCCGGATGGGGAGACGGTGCTCAGGGTCAGGATTAGGATGCCCACCCCTGATGTTCGCCGGACATTCCAGGGGCCGGTCAGGAAGAAAGGAGAGGCCCATAGAGACGTAGTACACGGCACATCACAGCAAGAACGGAGCAGGTCCGGGCGGGGAAGAGAGGGAGGCGGCCATGGAGCCTAAAGGCAGAGGTAGAAGAAAATTGTGCCGACGGGGCAAGCCATCCAGAGCCTGGTATCCTCACTGGTTTTTGTCTCATGGACGCCCAGCTGCTGGGGGGGGGGGGGGGGATGGCGGGGAGGAGCGCAGGGTACTGTAGCAGGAGAGGGTTGGGGCAGGCAGGCAGGAAGGCCATGAGGGCGGCCCCAAGAGTTTCCGACCCCGTGCGGATCTCAGCACCCTGCCAAAGGCTTCGTGTGGACCCTGCCCTCACAGGCTCCCCAGCATGCTCACCGGGTATGGGACAGGGGCTCTGTCAGGGCTGGGAAGGCATCTGTATCCGGGCTGCTGCTGGATTGCGTCTGGGGTTCCCTCAGCACATGCTGATACCCCGTGAGCCCTGCATAGGGCGAGCGTCTGTCCTTCTGGGAGCGGGGATCGGCGTCCACAACACACAACGGCAGAGGCATCCTCCGTGACCCGGCCCTGACGAAAACCTTAGGCACCGAGGGTCTTCTGGGCGTCTCCAGAGGGCATTACTTCACACGTGACATCACAGCTCGTTGCTGGGCGGGGGGCGGTCTACATGTCCCTCGTGACTCCGCAGAGGCGCCCCGGGGAGGCCCGAGTTCCCTCCACGACTAGCTTGTGCCATTTCCCCGTGATTACCCCAGCGCCGCGGGCGGCTGTGGGCGGCGTCTTGGGAGTGCTTCCAGGGAGCCTCCGCACCTGGGGACCCCCAAACCCCACTCAGTCCCAGGTCCTTCAGGGTCAGCCCTCCGCCCATCCCTTCCTGCAAGCCCTGTCATCGGACTCCGGGACCCACTGCCCCGAGAGGACGCGAGCCGTGAGAGGGCAGGACAATGTTTCACAGCGAGCGTTGCGGGCACTCAGCCAGCTGATGGGTGAACACCGAGTGGGCAGTTAACGAAGCAAACGAGCCCCAGTTCTTCCCCGGGGCTGGAGCACAGGGCGCCCACCTCCACGGCTGTCGGGGGACAAGTCACCGCAGGGAAGCACTCGGCCTCGCACAGCATTGCAAGGACCAGCTCCCAAGGTGGGCTGCCGCCACCTGCTCTGGCTGCTTCCTCCGTGGTCCACAGCAGGACAGTGGAGCCAATGCGGCGTCTCCGAACGGCCCCAGGGCGGTCAGTGTGCCTCCACTGTCAGGGGCAGGTCTGCCCCGCCCTGTGTCCTGGCTCTGTCGCCACACCTGGGCTTGGACGCCTCGAGATTCTGGGTCACCCAGCCCGGGAAACGCCTGAGCCTGTACAGCGCCCACATCGGGCCCCCGGAACCACGGGCAGGACGCACACCAGCCTTGCCGGAGAGGGGCTGGACAACGGGCGGAGGCCCGGCGGGATGCATGGGAACGGCCTGGGCTGGGCCCTGCGAGGCGCTTCTCAGACAGCGCGCCCACCTTTCCAGGTGACTCTCTTCTGCTCCCCAGGCAAGAAGTGAGCGGCTGCCTGTGTGCCCAGAGCTGCTCGCAGGGACCCCCGTGACGCTTCCTGCACCGCACGGGGCTTGCTGAGCGCCAGGGACCAGAACGCCAGCGCCGGCCGACACTTGCACAAAGGCACTTCCTGGAAGGACGAGACAGGCTGAAGGAGAAGGGGGCGGGCCGCGTGCCGGGATCCCGGCGAGCACGGCAGCCGGCCGGGGGCACGTACTTGTCTGCTCCGTGTGCCGGCTTGTCTTCCGGCCCGTGTCGGTCTCTGCCAAGCTCAAATTCCCAAAGAGCAAACTAAAATTGGATTTTCAGGTTTCATGGGCTTTGGATCATTTTTTTACATTTTTATGCAGCAACTTTAAAAGACTGAATGAAGAATCCCAGGTCCTGGGGCGGCCTGGGCGGCTCGGCCTGCAGCGCGTCTGGCTCTTGATCCCAGCCCAGGTCCTGATCTCAGGCTCCGGAGCTCAAGCTGCCTGCTCCAGGCTCTCTGGCTCTGCGCTCAGCGGCGAGTCTGCTGGGGGTTCTCTCGCCCTCTGCCCCTCCCCCACCAAGCTCTCTCAAAAAAAAAAAAATGAATAGTAATAGTTCCTGGACTTTTATTTTTTTTAAAGATTTTATTTATTTATTTGACAGACAGATCACAAGTGGGCAGAAAGGCAGGCAGAGAGAGAGGAAGGGAACAGGTTCCCCACTGAGCAGAGAGCCCGATGCGGGGCTCAATCCCAGGACCCTGGGATCATGACCTGAGCCGAAGGCAGCGGCTTAACCCACTGAGCCACCCAGGTGCCCTGTTCCTGAACTTTCATTGTGTGGTTAATAGTCACGGAATATACTAATGACAGAGAAAAACAGATGCGGTTGGGGACGAGTTACTACAGAACTCACGCTCCTCTCCTGGGATTATTACGCGCAGTTATGGGTCTTTCTGATACCTGTAGAGCAAATTTATTTTCCTTTAATTCGCAAAATAGAAAAGCTGTGAAGGCTTGGACTTCTGCATGTGCTAAGAGACGTTTGACAGAGTCGCTCACACTCCCAGGGGAAGGGTCTGGTGGCTGAGCGTGGCACTCACCCCGCCCTCAGTCAGGGGAGCCCCTGGAATGCTGACCTACGTGCCCAAGACCCAGAGCGCCGGGACGCTCAGATGCCGTTGCTGGAAGGAGGAAGGCTCGCCTCCATCCCGTGAATGACAGTGTGGCCCCAGACAGACACCCCAGTGGAGAGGCCCAGTGTCCTCACTGTCCTCAAGGGGTGACAGAGGCTAAGGGAAGGGCGGCATGTGAAGGGTCAGGTGCAAGCCGGGTTCCTGCGCACGGAAAGCTCGAGTCCCATCACCACGTCCACCCTTCCCAGGACCCTTCTCCTCCTTGCCTGTGCTTTGCTCGCACCGACTTGAGCTCTCCTTCCCACGACTGTGTGAGGTGGCTGTTTGCTCCCATTTCACAGATTAAGAAAAATGAGGCTCAGAGATTTTCATGGCCAAGGGCCACCGAGCCCTCACAACGGGATGCTCTGTCCTCCAAAGAAGGCAGTTTTAGGAGCATGAGCCTCTGTGGGAAAATCTGTACCCAGCATCCACAGAGACCAGGCATGAAGCCATAGGTGCTGACCCCGCGTGAAGGAAGGAGAGCATTAGCACCTGGCGAGAAGGTTCTGAGCTCCTGGTCCGGTCCCTAGAGAGCCAGCAGCCAGCTCAGGGTCCCAGCCAAGTCCATGTCCAGTGAGTGCACCCCAACGGGAGGGCCAGTGGGCAGCCGGTCGGCCTGGGACTGCCATCCCTCAGCCAGCAACCAGCGGCCCACACCCGACTCTCGGGATGGGAGGGGTGGGACGCGTGAGCTGGTCAAGGGTGAATTTGTTGCTCTGATGTTGTAAGGGCGTCTCACAGCATGTGTGTCTTGGACTCTGGACGTTCCTGTGTCCTTTGGGAGATCGGGGTCAGATATGAGGCTGGCAAAGGACACTATTACAGATCATAATTATCCCTAAAATCACAAATCCAAGCCTCCTCTGGGTTAAGAGTTTCCCCTTCTTGAATTTTCACATGGAGCATAGCTCATCGACTTGGGCCTGGCCTGTCTGCACAGCCGCCTCTGCTTCAGGGACCCGTCCAGGGGCGGGCGTGCAACTCCAGTCAGACCACTGAGTGCCAGAATTCTCCCGGGAGATGTTGGAAGAGAATCCCTTCCTGCTGGGGTTGTGCCACGCTCAGCTGCATGCCGGGGCCCCTGGTCTTCAGAGAGAGCAAAGCCAAGAGGTGGAGAAAAGCCGAAACCACCGTTGGAGCCTCTCAAGGCAGCTGTGCCTCAGGGAGACCAGCCCCCGCACCAATAAATCTCTCCTTTTTGCTTAGGTCAGTTTGATGAATGCTTCTGGCCCTTGTTTCCAGCAGCCCTGATCCAGAAGGCCAAAAAAAGTGGCTGCGTGGAGAGAGAGGAAAAGGGAAGGATACACATGTCGGGGACCGGCAGCCTCGCCCTGTGCTGTCTGCCCCAGCGCGAGGCAGTGGCAGCTCTGCGAGGCCCGAGGCAGACGGAGCCCAGAGGGGGCAGTCAGAGCTTGGTGCTCGGAAACTCCAGGTCCGTCCTCCCACGTGGGACTGGCCCTTCAAACTGGCTCTGCAAACACTGGTCGATGTTTGGCAACTGGCCTTCCAGGACTTGGGCGAGCGACCAGAAACCCTTTGTAGCGTTTGCCCCTTTCCCTGGCGTAAATACTCCCACTCGGCCAGCTTCGAGCTCCCAGCACCGTCGGGTTCCGAGGGCGGCATCCTCTGAACAGGGCACGACTTCTTTTGGGGTTGCAGAAACTCCACTCAGGCTGGCGGGAGCAAAGAAGAGGGACATTCATGGGCTCAGATCCTGAGAAGTCCTGGGTGTGTCTGGGTCGGGTGGTGGGATCGGAGGGCAGGAGGACCCCTGAAGGAATGAAAGAACACGACGGAAGTCGGGAATCTCCCCGTGGTCTCTGCTTCCCCCCGGTGGGGTCCTCCCAGGCTGGGGATGCCCAAAGGGGAGCCAAGATGGAGCCCGGACTCCTGCTGCTCTGGTTCCCCTCCCACCTGAGTGGCTGAGACAGACTGGGCCTCTGTCCCCACAGCTGTGTGGCTCGGGCCCCAGGGTGGATCCTCAAAGCCCAGCGTGGCCGCTGAAGCCATGACGGCAAGTGAGGACGAGCCTGCCCGGGAGCCAGGTGCTGTGCCCAGAAGTGGGGGGGTCGGGGTGGGGAGGCGCA